ATTTTGTTACTGCTCTTGTATTTTAAATACTCATCAATAGCAATCTGAAAATCATCATCCCTTCCATCTGTTTGCCATTCTTCAAGAAGAGGATGTGAATTCCAAAACTTAATGGGGGGTGGGGGATGGATTTTTGTCATCTTTACAGCTTAATTTGGTTCTCCTTGGCAAGCAAGGTTGGCGCATCATAACAAATGGTGAGTCTCTTCTAGCACGTATCTATAAAGCTAGATATTTTTTTGAGGGAGATTTCATGGGAGCAGTTCTAGGGACAAATCCTAGTTTTATATGGAGGAGCATATTGCAAGCCAATGATTTGCTTAGAAAAGTTGTTAGATGGCATGTTGGTAGGGGTGATCAGATTTAACATATGGAGAGACCCATGGATAGTGTCCCACAATTCTTTTTATGCTATATCTCCTCGTGTTGCAGGTTTTGAACACTTAAAGGTGCAGGATCTGATAATGTGAGGTGAAAATTGCTAGAATGAAGATCTTATTCGAGGTGTTTTTCTCCCTGTGGACGCTGACGTGATTCTCAAAATTTCATTGAGTGTTCGAAGACCAAAGGATGTTTTGATTTGGCACTGGTCGAAAAAAGGAGCTTATGAGGTCTGGAGTGCATATAAGCAAGCTGCTTAGGGGTTATGGCAGATTATTGTGTGGGCAATCCTAAAGTCTGGAAATATATTTGGACCAGGCATATTCCACCTAAAGTGAAGCAGTTTCTGTGGAGAGCATGCAGGGAAATTTTGTCGACCAAAATACAGTTAAATAGTAGAGGCATGCATGTATTTGAGGGGTGTGATAAGTGTGGTGAGAGGGAGACGATTTTGCATTCTCTTGTTCAATGTGTTGTTGCTTCTCTATGTTTGTCGCATTTCCAGATTCTTAGGGGTGAGTTTTTTGTAGCAAGTTTTGAATTATGGTTTTGGGATTTATGTAAGAATTGTGATAAGAGCAAGATTGAGGATATGGCTGTGCTGCTATGGTTTCTTTGGTATAATCCCAATACTGGGCTTTGGCAAAATGCGTAGATTGAACCAATGACTATTGTAACTCAGGCTATGAACTTCATCGCAGATTGGAGGGCGACAAGAGTGAAGAAAAGTAGCATGGGCTTCGCTAGAACTGATCGTCTGGTGGTTGGGTGGTCTCGACTAGCTGTTGTTTTAGCGAAAGGCAATTTGGATGCCTCCTTCAACTCAACAACGCTGAATGCTGGGTTTGGTGCTATTTTTAGAGACCATCTAGGTCGGTTTTCTTAGGTTTCAATATCAATAATACGCAGTGGAATAATATAGTTATAATAAAACAATTATACCAACAGAGATCCGTTTAAACGATTAAAGCAATAAAAATTATTTAGAAGAATATCTCTTTTGCAAATTCTTCGAAACCTCGATCTACGCAGCTAGGTTGTGCAAACCACAAGTTGTCCAACTGTCCGGCTTCTAGTAGTATCCACATGAAAGGACAATCTAAAAACTCTAAAACTATTTTAGGGGATGAGAGGTTAGAGCGTATGATGGTGCTAGCTATCATAGGCTCTATGTTTAGTTTTATGGTTATGAGCAACAACTCACAGTTAGACTATATCTTAAACCTTATACATAAAAATCCTTGGTCATAAATAAATAAATTATAATTATTTTTAAATAAATAAATCATAATATATATAGTAATAGAATTTTCAATTTAATCAATTACGTTTATTTATTTAACTATTTAAATAAATAAATCATAATCAAAATATTAGGTTTATTTAATCTAAAATTTATTTAACTATTTAAATAAATAAATCATAATCAAAATATTAGGTTTATTTAATCTAAAATTTATCTTAATAAATTTTAGACATAAATCAATTAATTCAATACTTAAAAATTTAGGTAAAATTGTAATTAAATATAAATTATAATTTTGCCCTTAATGTTCCCAAAACTAATTTGTAATCAAGTCATATTGATTCGATTTCTCGTTTCACTTTCTCATATCCATTCTTATGTGTGTGACTTTATAGGTTCCAAATATGTTGGCAACAAATATAAATTAAATTAATTAATTAATATTTGAAAGTCAAGTACATTTTCTAACAACGTGTCAAGACTATCTAAATAGTTGGATATTTGGAAAGTCAAAGTGCTTTGACTTAACCTTTCAGTGCATGATTTATCAGTGTAATTAATATCCCTTCATCATTAAAGTTCTGATTTAGTAATTAGACATGGAGTGTATCTGCTTTATTAAATCATGTTAGTTCTCTTAATCTTAGTCATTAATTGTTTGAATGAAATTTCAAATCTAATTTGCTAATTTCATTCGACTTTGCGCAATGATTTCTTAATCAATACTAATAGAGAATAATTAGAACATTTTCTCTGATTTACCTAGGGTGATGAATCCTTTCTTAATTACACAAGTATCTATTACACATTATCTCTGATACAGTTTTGTTACTATATCCAAAAAATCAGTTTCTTTTAATTCTTAATCAATACTAATAGAGAATAATTAGAACATTTTCTCTGATTTACCTAGGGTGATGAATCCTTTCTTAATTACACAAGTATCTCTATACAGTTTTTACTATATCCAAAAAATCATTGCTTATTATTCATGAATGAATAATGTATTTGGAGAATTAAAACATAGTCATCCCCATACAAGATAGCTTAGTAATTTTAAGTCAAAGGATCACTTACACAACCATCACTTGAGTCTTTCATAGACACATATAACTCTCCATATGAAATTCTCATACAGTCAATTCAGTGGACTTATTTAAATAACAAGCACCTACATATTAGTTCCAGATATCATATATATCTCAACATATGAGAACAGTTGCTTCTTTAATGAAAGAACATAATATGTATTAATCTCAACAGCTCTAATCATCGTTCAATAATGAGGAGAACATTGACCAAAAATATTTAGAGATATTACTTTAATGCAAATATAAAACTCATAATTATAATCACGATATAATTTATTTCGTAAAGCAGTATTATTTCATGGATTTTATATTTTATCAAGATTCAATTAATAGAATATAAAAGATAAATAAATGGCTTTTATTAATAATAAAATATTTATTACATTAAATATTATATCAAAAATATAACCAATCAAATTGGATATAGTGACTATAACTAACAAGTTTATCATTGGGGTTTCAGGTCGGCTTACTGGAGTTCCTTTGCCTCGCTGTGCTGAGCTTATGGACTTAAGGGAGGTATTACTCCGGATTAAATCTTAGCACTTACATCGGGTTTAGTTAGAGATGGATGCGCACGAAATTACAATGGCAATGGCAGCAAGGGGGATGACAGAACTGAATTCAAGCTTCTTCTTGATGATTGCAAGAAGCTATTTATGGATATCATTGGCTTGGGTTAATAGGCAACTAAATAAGGCTGCTCATGAATTTGCTAAATGGCTTGTTTTAGTGCTGGTCTAACAGTTTGGAGCTCTATTCCAACTGATATTTGTTCTATTATTGCTTCTGAAGCAAGGTTTGATTAATAATATTATCCTTTTTTTCTAAAAAAATAAAAAATAAATTTATTGATAAATATAATTATAAATTATATTAACGTTTAACGATATAAATATTCAAATAAAGATGCAGTTGAGAGAAAATATAACATTTTTAGAAAATATTAAATAATTTTATTAAGTAATTTAGAACCATATGATTTCTATCTTTATTTTTTATTTTTTTAATCAAAAGTTTGTTTTCATTTTGAACTTTTAGTTAAAAAAAGTTCAAAATCATGTTTCACGGTTCTCTATTTTCACAATTTTTTTTTAAAACTTAAGACACCGAGTAATAAAATAAAATGATGGATTTTTTTTAAAGTTCCAGCGATAAAAATAAAAGAAATAAAAACAATAACACAAATGAAAGCTTTAGCTTTAGCTTTAATTTACATCGAGGCGGTGAGTACGTGGGGCGGCTGCCGACTGTGCTGTACTTTTGGTTCTTAGACATTGGACATCCTGGGATTGCCTCCAAATTATTGTTGCCTATTGTTTTTATTTTTTTATTTTTTAAATCAAGATTTATCTTGTAAAATTTATTGGTCAGTGCAAATAGTAGTGTCAATAAAGTGATAATTTGATTAATCTTCTCACTTATATAAAAAACGAAAAGTCTTGATTAATCTCAAACATAGTTATAAAAAGAAGAATTATTTCTGTCGTGTATCCAAAATGTTATTTTCATTTATAAAAATCTCCCAATAAATTAAAAATAAATCATAGAGGTGACAATTTTATCCCTCCACTAATTTAAAAACAGTATCAATATGAATTTTAAAAAATAAAACCCAACAATAGTCATAACCCACTCACTTTTATCTATAATTTTTATTTTTCTAAAATTTTTTGAATGAAACTCAATTCAAATTTGACATGCTACATAATCTAATCCATCCTAATGCTAGGGAGGAACATATTTAATCTTATGGGACTGTTATGGGTATTAGAAGACTCGTCTCATACTAGACTCATTCCCATTCCGAGCTAATTGTAAATAATTAAATTAATCTTCAAACTTGTAAGAAGTAGATCAAGTAGTACTATTTTAATGAATGATCTCTATAAGGTCAAGTGAAAAAATAATTATGTAAATAGACAATTACGAATTTCAAAATGAAATTAATCTCATATTTAAAAATGTTATATAATACTGAGAAAAAAAAGACAAAAAAAATCATATTGTTAAGCTAAAATTTAATTTGACATGAATCCATGTTATATATCTAAATGTTCTAGCACATGTATATAGTTCAAACTCTCTTGCTTAATTTCTATCTTTGAGTTGTTTTGAGAATTGAAAATAATATGCCACCTGGTAAAAGAAGCAAAAGAAGAGAAAGTTCTTAAACCAAACACAGTATATAGCGCATACTTTGTCTCTAGCCCAAAGCCCATATATGCTTTCCAAAGTCCAAAGCCCAAAGCCCATTTATAAGTTCATTTGAATTCTATGCAGCTACACCAACAGTTTCTCGCTTTCACCAGGTCGCCTGGCCGCCACTGATCAGGGTTTTCGGTTACTCTGTTTCTCCTTTGTACCTCTGAAATCGAAACACTCTATCTCCCGGAATGACGAAATTCAGAAAGTTAGGTCGACCCACTGGTCACCGTATGTCCATGCTCAGGTTATTGATTTACTGTCTCCTTGTTTCTCTGTTCTCCATCTAATCTTGCTTTACTTCCATTTCAATTTAGCATATTTATTTATGGGTATGTAATTGTAGGACAATGGTCTCTCAATTGGTGAAGCATGAGCGCATTGAGACCACCGTTGCTAAGGTACTTGCTTTTTTTTTTTTTTTTGGTACATTTTTTAGGGGTTTTTCTAGGGTTTATGACAACTGATAAGTTTTGTTTGATTTTATTTCTTGCTTGTTGCTTTTCTGGGATTCTTTTTATAGGTTTTTCCTTTTTCTTGCAGAAGCTAACAAGCGGGTTAGTAGGGTTACTTTGACCATAATTTTTTACTTCATTACGAGCAGAAAAAATAGAAAGCATGATTAATGAGTGAAATTTTTTAGGAAAAGTTGTAAACATGTTACAGATATAATTTTTATTTTATTTTATTTTATTTTGTTTCAGATATATGCTGAAGTAAGGTCTCTTTTGTTTGGAATGCATGGTATTTGGATTCCACTAGGATAACAAATTTGTACCATTGCAAATGGACAGGACATTATAGCTTTAGCCAATACAAACATCTTCCAAGCATGTAACCGTTTCTACTTACACTAACCCTTGCAATCTCAAAAAAAAAAAAAAGGGTGTTTTACTATATAGAAGACGTTAAATTCAATTTGAGGGGAGGTCATCAAAACACAGCTCTATGAGCAGTAATAACTTTTATGTTCTAGTATATATATTATGGGCTACTTAGAACTCTGCATGTCACGTTATTTAAGTAGTACAAGTACAAGCTAAAGAAATGCACATGGTTTACTGATTTGGTTTTTATGTATATTTCCTTTCGGTGGTTTATGGAATTTTTGGTGATAAGTAGTTTAACTGAGCACATTTGTCGTGTTTTCCATTTTGTAGGCAAAGGAGGTTCGACGACTCGCTGATAATATGGTGCAGCTTGGGAAAGAGGTGTGCATAAGAAATTAGTTGTTGCATGCTGCTCTTTCTGCTTTTAATGTTGTGTAGATGATTGAGGTTTAAGAATATAATGCAAAGCTTGGATGAGTTTTGAGCATCTGGAATTATGTTTTTCCAAAGGGCTTTAGTTTTATACTAGTTTGTGATTTATATACTACTGCTACAGCAACTAAGCATTAATCCAAAATAGTTTGGGTCGATTATCCTTTGTTCCATTCTGTCATGTTATAATTAATTCTACACTAATGCCAAGAAAGAAGTTGTAGACTTTTTAAGCCAACTTCTCCCCATGTGATCTTAGGTCTACATCTTCTCTTTTTTGGGCCCTCCATTAATGCATGGATTAGAATTTTAATTTAGTTTTGGACATATTGGTTACATCCCAAGGATGCTGGAAAATTTTTCTGAATGGTTAAGGTTGGCAATCTATATAAACTTTTCAATGTATATATTTTTGCTGCAGACACATCTCATTATCTTGCTATGGCTTTAGGATTCCTACTTGTGTTGATATAAGTGGAAATATGCAAAATACGAGTGTCCTTGAGTTCAAAGTATTTTGCAATGCCAAAACAGAGTTTGCTGTCTCTCTAGCTTATTATTTCTTTTTATAGTTAATTTCTAAACTTGATGGTAACTGTCATTTAAGAACTTCTTGGCTCCTGTGCCTTTTCCCTCTTTATGCATTACATTTTTTCTTTTCTCTAAGGCGGGTTCCTATTGTTTACTATTTGTGTAAGTTATGTTCCTTTGTTGCTCCTATTGAATTTCTCAACAAAAGAAATAAAAACTTTAGCATATTGAAAGTAAATGGGAGTTCTCTATCATCATCATCACTTCATTTTATCTCGGGAAAAAAAATATATATACAGGGTTCCCTTTGTGCTGCAAGGCGTGCGGCTGCGTTTGTGAGAGGGGATGATGTTATTCACAAGCTATTTACAGAACTTGCTTATCGTTACAAGTAAATTTCTGAACCTGACTTCTTTGTTTTTTTTTATTATCAATCCACGATAAAATTAAGTTTGGGTTTATAGGGATCGAGCAGGTGGTTACACAAGACTGCTACGAACTCGTATAAGAGTTGGTGATGCTGCACCAATGGCATACATTGAGTAAGATCTCTGTTCACTCTAAATTGTTTATTTGATTGAGAATTCCTTTTTCATACTGCCAGAGGATGATGAAAGCTTATTTGGCTTTCCTTTTTCCCTCCTAAAGCTAAATTCTTATGGTTCTTTTTTGAGGTTTGGTTTAGGCAAAGTTTTTATTTTCTGCATTTCTGAATATTTAGCATTAGCAACAGTTTGTGCAGTTAAAAATAGTTTTTGTCATCCGCTAAATTTTCATTTGCACATTCGAAATGCAATCTGCAGCTTTGACTCTGTAGATCTACAGATTTTCTGCATTTTTTTCTGGTTTTTCTTTTGTTGTTCTTTCTGGTACTATAAATTTTAAATTTTAGTTTTAATATCTATTTCTCCAACTTATGTTTCTTAAGTTGGTTCATCTTGAAGATTGTTTTTGTAATGGTCGTGAAGACTAAATTAAATTGGTTAATCTTACAATAATTTGTCAAATAATAAAATCTGAAAATTTCTATTCATGAATAATAGAAAGAAGTATAGACATATTGAGAGAAAACCATTTTGGCTAAGAAAATTTGGGCCGAGATGATGCTTGCCTTTAGCCTAAGAGAACTTGGAGGGTGTCCATTTCAGCCCTATTCTTGTACCTGGAAAATATACATTCGCTATGAAGATAATCTCACTGATTCTGAAATGAACACCCTCCATGTGAAATTATTGAAATCAAATGAGTATGCTTTTCTAAATGTAGTTTTGTAAGTATCCGAAATCACAAATTATTGTATATAGCATATATGCTCGTATACATGCATATGCATGTGGCAATAGATAATTAAAAACACATTCTTCGCAGTAAATCACTAAATATATTAAAGTATTTTTTGAATTTGTCTTGTATCTGTATGGTTTTAAATTTTGAATTTTTCCCATTTGTTCTTCCTTTCAAGTCTGGGATTTACTGTTTTTACTGGTTTGATATGAATTTACACATTTGAACAGGTTTATTGATAGAGAAAATGAGCTTAGGCAGTCGAAACCACCAACTCCTCAACCACAACAAAGAGAACCTTTGGATCCCTGGGCAAGATCTCGGCTCAGCAAACAATTTGCACCTCCTAAGGAAGAAAAGAGTTCTGAACCTGAGATATGATAGTCATCCACATTCTTTTCAAGATTTTGATTTTGGTAACTTAAGATTTTGACAATGTATCTGTATTCTGTACGTGATCAGGTTGTTCCAGCATAGCAACATTATGAGCTTTTTTTTCCATGAGATACATGGATAAGCTATAATATATCATCATGCATTTGACAATAATGAGAAATAGCCAAGAACTGGAGGTGGCACCGCGTTGGCTGTAACACTCGAATTCCTCTTTGCCCTCTTAAAGCTTCATTAGCCATTGTCAGCCCCTTGGTAGCTTCCCGAAAGAACTTCCAAATGCTGATCAGACGTTGTCTTACCGACAAAACCAAACAAGAAGAGAGAATATTATTGAGAATATTATGAAACCTTAAGAGAACTCGTCTGCTGTTCTTTAAGAATTTCAGACAGCCTTGGAATCGGTCTGCAACTCAAATTTCCCTCGTTCTAAAATACCAACTCCTCAAAACTCGCATTACCGTCTCCATGAACACCACCATAAGCTGCTGCCCTGAATTAACTCTAGAGAAAATTACTATTGTCTTTGAGTTGACAAAATTAATAATTTTGCCTATGTATTTTGGTAAAATTATTATGATGTCCGTCTCGAGATTTAATTCCGTCAGATTATACGGTTTCCGTGTTCAAAAAGATTTACAGTCCTCCGTGTTCAAAAAGTGGCACTTTTCCGTTATGGGACCCAACTGAAGCCAACTTTATCGGCTACGGTGATAACAGTATTAAAAGTTTTTGTAGTGAAAAAAAATGAAAAAAGAGACCGGTGGATTTGAGATGGTAAAACAGCCGACTGTTAATCAAGAACAGAATCTTTCAACTATCTGAAAAATCAAAATGAAACCCATTAATTAATTATTATTTTATAAATGAGCAGCTTAGATGCTCACTGAGGCTTCACACCAGTGTCTATTCTCTATCACAACATTATTATATAACAAGTAAAATATCATAATATTGAGTTTTATCAACATTATAAATAATAGATTGCATAACTTTTCGTTTGTCATTTATGCATATGTAGTTATTATTCCCTGTCTTCTATAATGTATTTGCATTATAAGAGCTTGTTATTGCCAATTTTAATCACAAACCTTCACTTGAAACTGCTGTCCGAAAAGCAATATTATACAACTTTAGTTAACTAACCAATACAATACTTGAATTTACATATTTAATACTAATATGTCACCTTATATTTCTAATAATGATAATAATTACTAATCAGATGTGGTCTTATTGATCTTCTTACTTCTTGTAGAAAATATAAGGAGTGAGAGTTTGAATCCTCTTCACTGCAAAGATTATCACCAATTTGGTGAATACTACTCGGAAGGGCTACTCCTACTCCCTACTGTGTAGCTTTAAAATTATATTCCGATTTACTGGCCCTTTCATTTATTAAAAAAAAAAATGATAACAATATAAAGAAGTTGAAACTAATCCCGTACCTTTTCTTTACCAATTTTTGATTGTGACAACCCATCTTCCCAGGCCGGACCAATATTAGAACTTGAGTCAGTTTAAGATTGTAAAAGCTGGTAGTAAGCCTAGAAACTATTTACAAAGCCTATCCATATAGTGCGTTTTAAGTCCAATTCCAACATCGTTTATAAAATAGATAATAATGCACACGAAAATTATATACATAATGATCTATTTTACAATCCGCATCACCTACAATTCAGGAACTCTAATAATTTACTTTTTCATTTCTGAAAGTTACTAAACACTATTCGGAGTGAGCATTTCATAGCTTAATTCGGTCAATTTAATTAATTCAGTTAAAGGAATTAAATTTTAGGTTATCAGTTAAAAATTAATTTAATTGAGTTAATCAAATTAACCGACTCTTACAACTACGTTGTTTTAATTAAATAGAAAATAAAATTAAAAACTAAAAATATTTCCATTTTTATTTTGATTAAGCAGTGATTAGTAACTTCGGTTACTTTTTATCTCGGCTAAAGTCAGTTAATCACGAATTTCAGTTAAATTCGATTGTTAATTAAGTTTTCATTTGCTTTAACTTTCGTTTGGTTAGTGATCAAATTAATTAGGTCAAAATGATTCGATTGAGTTCGGTTAAATTCGGTTATGTCAAAAAAATTTTAATTAATTTATTTCATTAAAAATATTACTTAAATTAACTGAATTGACCGAATGCTCACCCATATTCATTTCAATTTTATGAACATATCAAATCTATTTAAGGCAGAGTTGAATGTTTAAATTCAATAAGTAAAATTATATAACTCTTTCGCCTTATATAGTTATATAGAATGAAATCATACATCAATTTAGCCCTCAAGCTAATTGTAAATGAGCAAGTAAATGTAATTCACACATTCAAAATCACAAGCATTTTAAGTTCAACTAGTCACACTAAGTGGTAATTGGTGTGTAGCCTCACCAAGTGAAAAGACTAGACATATCCAAATATTCTTTTCAACCAATATCCATACCACAATCCATGTTGTGGTCCTTTCGATGTACACTCAAGAAGCCACCCGTTCTGGCTAGAAGGATCCTAACCCGTCCTTTCATTTTATTATTTTTTATTTCATATTTTCTTTTTTCAATATCAATGATGCACGTCAGACTTTGGAATATATAAAAGAGGTGCCATTCTCCCATTTGCCATCAATTTCCACCATGGTGACTTAACCTTATTCCAATTCTACATCAAGTCCTAATATATTGCAACTCAATCAAAAATAGTCGTATGTATTTCTCATGTACATCACCACATTTACCATTGGATGGTAACTCTCTGTATATGATATATGTACACGCGAAATGCTTGATGTTTTTGTTTTTTAAAAGTGAAAATATTTGGAAACAGCTCAAATATATCGAGTCCGTTTTTGTAAATACTGAAAATCGGACACCTGTTTTCTTTCCCCAGAAATATTTCTTGCATTAAAAAAAATCAGATTTCAAATTCAAATTTGACAGAATTTCATTATCTTTTTCTATTTTGACATATTAATATTTTATTTTCTTTTTTTTTTATTGGGCATGAAACTTATAAATTATCCTTTAAAAATTATAAATGTACTCTTTTTAAATTATTTTTATATTTCCTATATTTTAAATTTTAAATAAACTCTTATATTTTTTATATTTACGCGTTTCCCTCCACATTTTTGTTTCCTATATTTTTTGAACATGTCGTTTCCCATGTCCGTTTCCACATTTTTCCAATGTCTATTTCCGCGTTTTTCCGATTTTAAATAATTGAGAACAAGGAACTAGGTGAGAATTCTTGGTTTCTATTTATTTTCTAGCTTCATTCTAACTTAATTACTTAATTCATTATATATAATTTAATTTTTAAATTACTAAAATTAAAAGTAAAATTTTATTTGACTTATTTTAGCCATCGAAATTTGGCAACACGTCCCTAAAAATTAATGGACTATATATCTATAGAAAAAAATTATAATTTCATCATAAAATCATATTTTTATTCTCGACATCATCAATGCCATGTAAACACAGTCTCTTCATCTTTTCAAATGTTCATTATTCAATTAATCCCATCAATCCAACATAATCTATCATTTGAATAATTTCCATTATGTAACTACATTTTTTAAGCATAAAACAATCAAATAACTATTTATTTATTTATTTATTTATATTACAATTACACTTTTACCATAAAACCCATTTATGAGAGAATTTCATGAAATCTCATATTTACTACAGTTAATCCATCCAACTATTTTTAATAGGTTAATGGCATTATAATACAACTAACTATATGCTCCTACTACAAGTCTTTCATAATAATTATTTTAACATTATTTGCTATTAATCTTTCAGATAGAAAAACCCAATTTGCTATCTATCGAGCTTTCAAGGTCTCAAATAAATAATTAAAAAATGTGCTAAAAATATGAAAAGGGAAAACAAAATTCTGCTTCTCTTGTTCATGCCTTGGCCGACCCACCCATGGCTAAAGAAGGGGAGCTGTCATTTTGCTCAATTAAAATTAAGCACATAGGCTTATTTTACAATGTAATTTAGGGTTCTAATACCTAATTCAAGCATAATATGTCATAGCAATTTAAAATCAAAATATAAAACCCTAATTTCCTATTTTAGGAATAACTCTAATTCGGTGATAGTCTCATACACCAAAAAGAGTGAGGATACTAGCGAAGCTCTATGTGATGAAATTATATTTATGAATAAATATGTGGGACTAAATAGATATTCGCACAAAAGCCACAAGAAAGTAACATAAGAAAATATATGGTAAAAATCCAAATAAACAATAATTGACGGGTTTGATGTCATATTGACATTACAGAATTCTAAGATAGTAATATTCATGTGGTCAAGAAAAAAAAAAAAGATAGTAATTATTTAAGAGAAGGCATGGCATTTGATGTAAATATATATAGAAAGAAAAAAATAGGATCAATCATTCAAAAACTGACGTTGGTGGGGGGAAAATATGTGTTGTCATTTTTCTGTTAATGGAAAAAGGCAGAAAGGTAGCCAAATACATGAACAAATGAAAAGAAAGCTTTAAGAAGAAGTATTATAATTATTATTATCTGTTTAGTTTCTTTTTTCGGAGAGTCTGTTGCTCTCCCTTGTTTTGTGCCACCTGTTTTCAGAACACCCACTGGTTTCTTTTCTTCTTGTGTTGTAATTTTCTATTTTTGTTTGTGGCCCAAGCTACGTCACTTTTGGATATGCTTCAATTTCTTGAGCAATCCAATTATACATATACCTTATCATACCCCACCTTTCTTGTCCTTTTTATCCATTTCAACATAATCTATGTTTGCTTTTCTTTTTTCTTTTTTTCTTTTTCATTTGCTTCCTCAACCTTAAACACAGCTATTGGACTTTGAAATTATTGATTTTGGTTTTTGAAAAAGATCGAACTGTGTATTCGAAAAAAATGAGAGTAGCTGAGCTATTGCTATGATTGGTGAAGACATCAGTGGCCTTTGCCATATATTACCATGCGTGTAGTTGATGAATGAATTAATGCATTTGGCATGCTTGGTACAAGCAATTTGGGTAATCCTAGAACTTGTCTAGTTAGCCTCATGATTTTGCCACTCTTATTAGTAATTACCATATTATTAGGGTCACTAAAATGAAATTGTACATATATTAGCTCTAAGATCCCAAAAATGTCAGGCATTCCCCACAAAATCATTTATCAAGATTGCTCGATGTGTATGCTTGCTCAGTTTTTTGCACTGATTTTGAATTTGAAGTCTAAATTTCGAAAAGAAACTTCATTTTGCCTTTTACTCTCTTCGTTTCATTTTAATAGCAACAAATATGCATTTTACCTTATTCTAATTTAAGTGCATTTAGGATTCTGAGATTATATTAATTTTTTTTTCAACTTTATCCATATTTATTATGTGTAATTTCTTTTTATATTCACACTTAAGAAGAGCAATTTAGACATTATACTATATTTTTTTTAGAAAATCAATAAATTTTAATCATTTTCTTAATTCTTGTAAAAAGATAAAATGTTGCTAATAAAATGAAACGGCAGATTAACTATTCTACTTTTAAAATATCAAAAAACTAGGTTGCACCTTAATTTTATTGTAAATTACCCTAACTTAACATTACTTGAGCAAAATCATTACACTAGTTGTAGAGGTTATCATCTCTGGCTCGCATTGAATAGAAAAATAAGCTTTTACACTTATCAATAAGGAAGCAAATATTATTTAGTAGATGAACTTTGCGTCAGTACAAAAAGGATATACTCTGTCAAGCAGAAGCAGTTATTATTCTATTCAACAAAAGCGAAAAAAGGAAAAGAAAATCAAAATTGGAGAATCACTGGCTACCAAAATTAGTGTGCAAAAATGTTCACCAACAGTTTATGCCCATGTTAGAGAACTGAGTAGACAAGGCAGATCCCAAGTCCCTTCTCCTGGGCTTAACCAATGGAGGTGTCCAAATGTTATTAAAACAACCATCTTTAGCTTCTCTATTTTCTTTGGTGCAGCCAATATTAGTATTAGGAGCATTAACTTTGAGCCATTTTGACTGCATGTAAGTACTGGACCTCCATGGAGGTACATGAAGCCCTCTTTCTTCAAGAGACTGTTTGGCAGCTGAGCAAAGTAAAGATATAATCTTATTGAGTTTTTCTTCACTTCCAATAAAAAATGAAGGAACTATGTCTGTTAGTTCTTCGTAGGATTTTGTTGGTCTTGCCAATTCAAATTGAGATCTGAAGTCTATATCCACTATCAACCTCTTCTTGTTGCCTTTCTCATCTTTCAGTATAATATCAATGTAATTATAATCACCTGTTATATGTCCATTAAAAAAAAACTTTAGTTAAATTTCATTTCCAGCAAAATAAAGAAAATCAACAAAATAACTGAAAATACTTGCAAGAAAGAAAGAGAGAAGCACCAGCAGGGCATCCCAAGGAAGTGAGCCATGAGGTTTGACAAATAGAAGCATTGAAGCCATCCATTTGGAGTCTCGTAACAAGCCACTTCTTCAAACCAGTTGCCTTTTCAGCTTCTTTTTGGCTTCTCATATGCCTCAGTACACTCTGAAGAACCTTATTTTCTGCTTCTGTCATTTTTTCAAGAATTTCCTAACCAAAACAAAAATACAAGAAGTTGAGATCGGCCTAATCAATTAACCAATACAAAAATATAAAAAATATATAGATAAAGAAAGTACCTGTAAAGTGAAATATGTGGCTTGATGATCAAGAGAAAGGCAGTTGGAGGAATTAGGGAAAATGGGCAGTGGAGAAGATCCTGATTCAATGAAGTCATGTACCATCTGAACTAGCCTTTCTTCTTCTAAGCTACCCATATAGAGGAAAACAGGAGATTTTGAAATTGGGTTTTCTATGAACTGTAGAAGAGAGCAATGGATTCTTGTGTTGTGTGTGATGTAGATGTATAAATATAGATGGAGATGGCGGTGGAGTGTACAGATTTGTTTTTGATGACAGAATATGGTGGCAGTAAGGTACATACCATATCATGGTAAATATATGGGTATTAAATATTAAATATTTTTCGAAGAAGATAAAATGAAAGGGGAATAATTATTATAACATAGAAGAATATCCCTTATCTTCGGATTTCTTTAAAAGACCAAGAGCGTGACACTAAAATGTTGTCATTATCTAGTTATACTGTTCCAGAGTCTACAGTTTCTTTCTTCAAACATACGACGGTCCACCTTGGAATTTGGATGCGGTTCAAAATTAACATAACATTAGGCTTTTCAATTATTACTGTTGTTATTTTTTTAATATATATATATAAGCAGAGCATTTCGCATTAAATGGAAGTTAAGTGTAAACCTCTAAAATTGCCAAATACGAGGAAGACAATAATTGCCAAGTACGAAGAAGACAATAATTATTTAGTACGATTGTTAAGAGATAAGGTGTAATGATAGCAATTGTAAAAAGATGAGTTGTTTTATATTTTTGGATAATGTCTTTATCATGATAATATCTATTAGTTACATCCCATCAAGATAATGCATTAAATTAAATTAAAATTTAACTAAAATACCAATCCATAAAATAAGAAATACTTAATTTCTTGGATGAGATTATGTTGATTTTTCATATTTAACTAAAATACCAATCCATAAAATAAGAAATACTTAATTTCTTGGATGAGATTATGTTGATTTTTCATCACATCCGACGAACAATTTTTATACTCAATTAGATAAAGTCTTTCTTAACTGATGAGCACTAATTCCTTCTAAATGTAGAATTTTTTTTTATTTATATTCTCGCAATTTTTTGTTTTGTAGTTTTCTGGTATGTCTTATAGTAGTTTAGAAAGTTACAGTAGTTTCATATTTCAGGAGCTGAGTCGCACGGAAACAGGACACGAGATATGAAACGTACGGGATACAATAATTTTTGAAAAAGGTAGGACATTCACTTGCTTAAAACACACTATACTAAATAAGTAATACATTAATTTTTTAAATAAATAAACAATCATTTAAAATAAACATAAAATAAAAAAATACTAAATTTCTTATTTCAATGACACAAGCAAAAAAAAAAAAAAAAAACTTCATTTTCAAAATAAAAATCTCAATTGATTAGGCTTTGGTGTATGGAGTAGGTTCCTCATATTCTAGATAGGTATGCATAAATACAGGACATGAGATACAGAACGTACGAGATATCGATAACTTTTTAAAAAAGATAGAACAATTCATTATGCTTAGACACATAATCACCTAAATAAGTATAAATTACATTAATATTTCAAAACAAAATAAATAATCATTTATAATAAATTATACACACTCAAATAAAAAATTAATTCTTAATTCAATCGAGACAATTATTAGGTATCTTCATTTTTTTTATTGGTATATAAAAAAACCTTGAATTGATTATCTTTGGGTGAATAAAGTAGTCTAATATACCAAAGCTGATGTTTGCTGGAAAATTCCTCGACACTGCAAAGTGGGCAAACCTCTTGTTATGTATTTTGAATATAAATTGCATGAATGCATGATTGTTTTTTGTACATTTTACGTTTGTTTTTGTGTTTGTTTTTGTTTTCAAAGTAAAATTTTCAAGGAACAGCCCAGCAGTTGGAGCAAAGATTTGGTTCTATACAAAAATATAAAGGGCCAAAAACAAGAATCCCTCGCGGCGAAGCCAAGTCGCAACAACGAATAACGCCCAGCCGCCGAGCGCTACAAGCGCGCCGCCCCATGACAGAAAAAGCAAAGTCGCCGAACGCGACTCCACCTTACGCGGAAGCGCCGACAAGCCACATTTAAGAGTCAGAAAACAATTGGAGAGCAGAGCGAGCCTTTCATAGAATCACTTTGGGAAGGTACCAGCGAAATCGAGGAGCGCGACCTTTACAACGCGAGCGCGAGTCGATGATTTCCCAAGGAGACGTATTTGCTGCTTTTCATCAGAAAATACATATCGCAAGGGTCGGGACTCTTCCCAAGAGAAGTCACCTCAAGCACCTCTTGGCCAACCAATCACTACCAAAACCACCATCACTCTCCTCCTCTATAAATAGCCATCAAAGTGAAGCAAGAAAGGAGAGAGATATAGAATTAATTCTTATTCAGACTTAGATTCACAAAAAACACTTAGATTTTATTAGGAGAAGTGTGTTAGTAGTACTTAGAGCAAGATTGACGAAAGTCACTTGTTGTTGATTGTGCCAAGAACACCAAGAAGTTCCTCGAGGTGTGACGCCCTCCGGAGGCTTGAGTTAGATTACTTCTTTCTCTTGTTTTATAGACTTGTTGTTTTATAGACTTGTTTTATGTTGTTCTTCATAACTCTTCTATGCAAAGCACAATTTTAATTGGTAATATTCAATAGAAATTCTTTAAGTTATCTTTTGATCTTTGTTTAATCAAAGTTACTAGATTATATTCTCAGAAGGAATTAGTTTAGTAAAGATCAAAGAGATTTAATTCATTGAATTGAGTTTAAATATGCACATTTCACTTATTTCTGTTGAAATTAAATCTGTCTTATTGAAAGTCTTATTGAAATAATCAAAGAATAAGAATTAGGTTTAATATTTAACAAAGTAAGGTTTCTATTATAAGTAGAAATATTTATAATAGATAGTATGATTCTATACTAAGAAGTCGAGTTATATCATACCATATGTGGTTAAAGAGTTCTTTATTGTATATTACAAGCTTTTGAATAGAAAAGAGAAAATCCTGTGCACGATTAATTATTCTAAGTATTTTACTACACACACTTGTCTTTGTGATTAATTATTCTAAGTATTTGACTTGTCTTTTAAATTAATTAAACATTAGCCTTAGCATAATAAAGGCAGAAATACACGTGAGTGTGTGAGTCGCCACCTTGTTTAATTATGTAACCATCATTAAAATAAAGTAACAAGTGGACTCACCCCGTTCTCGTGGGATCGATGTTTTTATTACTACGTTGCCGAATTTTCCGTTACCTTGCGGAACTCAAAGAGACGCAACAATGGAATACGACAATTTTTTAAAACAGGTAGGACATCCACACGCCTTAGGACATAGTAACTAATAAGTAATAATTAATAGTTTTCCAAAAATAAAATAAATAAACAATCATTTATAATAAATCATAAACATAAAATAAAAAATACTTAATTTCTTATTTCAATGATACAAAAGCAAATAAAAAAAATATTTTTTTTATTGGTAATAAAAATAAATCTTGGTGATTAGTTTGGTGTAAGGAGTAGTCTCATATACCAGGAGCTAGGTTGCACGGACACAGGACATAAAATACAGAAACGTACAGATACGACAATTTTTAAAAAGTAAGGCATCTATATGCTTAGAACACACTACACTAAATAAGTAATACATTAATATTTCATACACTAAATAAGTAATACATTAATATTTCAAATAAATAAACAATTATTTATAATAAATCATAAACATAAAATTAAAAAAATACTTAATTTTTTTATTTCAATATACTTAGTTAAATTCTCAAAATTATTATCACTATTGAAAAATAGATTAATAGTGTGTATGCATTTTTTATGTAGGTCATACCATCTATAGCTTTTGCTATTGCATACCTTATAAAAAGTTTCGCATGATACTTAAGAAGACATATTTTAGCATCGCTACTTTTCAACATATCTTAATAAGATACAGTTTATCATTTTACTATATAATTTTCCTATTTTTGAATGATGTTATAAAATATTATTTCATATTTTAATATTACCCTGACTTCGTGCGGAATATAAGGAAAAAAATAATTATATTTTCAGATAATATCATATACGAGGAAAAAAAACTAAATTAGTATTAATAAGCAAAAACTATTTATTTGGAAATAAGAAATGAATATAAGGGAAAAGAATTTCGATAATTTTCTCTTCAAATTAGAAAAAAATAAAAAACTATAAAAATAAATTTGTAGAGAAAATTAATTTTATTTTTCTTTTATATGCAAAAAAATAAGTAACAAAAGTTTTTTCCGAAAATAAATTTAGTCCCTTATTATTATTTTTTGATTATTCATTAATAAAAAGATACAAAAAATAAATTTAAAAAAAACATTATAACGCGATACAAGAATATACACCATATGATAAATTTTAAAAAGTAAGAGATCCACACGCTTAGGACACACTACACTAAATAAGTATAATACATTAATATTTCAAATAAATAAACAATCAGTTATCATAAACATAAAATAAAAAAAACTTAATTTCTTATTTCACTATAATTAGTTAAATTCTCAAAATTATTATTACTATTGAAAAATACATTAATAGTGTGTGTGCATTTTTCGATGCAGGTCATACTAGGGGTGTTAAAATGGGTCACGACATGCGAACACGATTCACTTGACACATGAAATAAATGGATTACGGTTGAGGTTAACTGAGTTCGTATCACAAACGAGTCACCCATTTATGACATGAATATAAACGTGTTGTGTTGGCGGTTAACATGCGAGTTAGGCGAGTGACCCATTTATTTAAGAGTAAAGAGGTAATTTGAATGTTAGATATAAATATTCCAACTAAAACCTATTTAAATTTTATTATTGTATTACTTTTTTATTTTAATTATAAATCTTGAAGAATTTAATTTTAATTATAAATCTTGAAGAATTTATGCATTTTACGTGTGAAAATTTATTTTTAAATATGATTGGAGTTAAATAGGTTAAAAGTTAAAATACTAAAAGCTGGTTATATTAGTAAACATATCCACTTAACCTATTTATGATATTAAGCGGGTTACAAGAGTTGTATATGGGTCAATGTGACCCACTTAACCTGTTTATGATATTAAGCGGGTTAAACATGTCGTGTTCGTGTCAACCGTCTAATTTTCATATTATATTTGTGTTGAAATTATAAAAAATTATTTCATCTTTTAATTATAAAAAATTATCAATTGATCTTAGTCAGACACTGACATGGCATAACACTTCACGTTGATCGATAAAAGTGATAAATCATATGGCAAATGTGGAGAAATTACCCATTT